TTAAAATCAAGTTTCTTTAAAGGCTTTGAAAGTTCAACTAATTTTGAAGCAGTAAACAAAGAATGAAAAATCACCTTACCAAGTAACAGATGCAAAGGGAGACCCAGGCCTTTGCAAGTAGATTTTTATTAGGGCACTTACCAACATAGCACATACCACAAAAATTTTATCCTTCTCCAAATGTATATCATTATTTTAAAACCAGAGGCCCGGTGCACAAAATTCTTGCACAGGAGTGGAGGGTGTTCCTCGGCCCAGCTTGCACCCTCTCCAATCAGGGACCCCTAGAGGGATGTCTGATTGCCTGTTTACGCCCGATCTCGGTGGGCAGTCAGACACCTCTCTCACAATCCAGGACTGCTGGCTCCCAACTGCTTGCCTACCTGCCTTCCTGATTGCCCCTAACTGCTTCTGCGTGCCAGCCTGATCAATCCCTAACCACTCCCCTGCCAGCCTGATCAACACCTAACTGCTCTCCTACCAGCCTGATTGCCCCTAACTGCCCTCCCCTGCAGTCCTGGTCCCCCCCAACTGCCCTCCCCTGTAGACCTGGTCTCCACCCCCAACTGTCCTCCTCTGCTGGCCCGATCATCCCTTACTGCCCTCCCCTGCAGGCCTGATTGCCCCCAACTGCCCTCCCTTGCAGACCTGATTGCCCCCAACTTCCCTCCCTTGCAGACCTGGTCCTTCCCAATTACCCTCCCTAGCTGGCCTGATTGCCTACAACTTCCCTCTCCTGATGGCCATATGTGTCCACATGGGGGCAGCTATCTTTGACCACATGGGGGTGGCCATCTTGTGTGTTGGAGTGACAGTCAATTTGCATATTGCCTCTTTATTATATAGGATGGTATAGTTGTTATCATTTTAAATTTAAAAAGCTATACATTTATCCACCTGATGTGTCTCAATGGTTGAGCATTAACCTATGAACCAGGAGGTCACAGTTCTATTTCTGGTCAGATCATATGCTCAGGTTGAGGGCTAGATCCCCAGTGTGGGGCTTGTAAGAGGCAGCCAATCAATGATTCTCTCTCATCACTGATGTTTCCATCTTTCTTTACCTCTACCTTCCTTTCTGAAATCAATACAAATGTATTTTTAAAATAAAAAGCTCTACATTTACATTAATATTTTAATTAAAGGTTTTAGTTGAAGATGTAAAAAATGACAGACTACATTCATGATAGAGATGTATTGCTAGATCAATCTATTCTAACATAACTGATTTAATTTTTTTTTTTTTTACCACAAAGTCAGAAGTGAAATTTTCTAGTGACCCTGGCAACTGCTCTTATGAATAATTTCAAACAAATGTTTTTGGAGATAGGAGCTTCTGGAAAGTCCACTTTGATGGATTGGTAGAGAGAGCTGGGGAATCATCTGGCTCAATGATTTGCCTGTTGCTACAGCAAGAACACAGAGCGCAAGGCTTGGCACACACCAGATGTGCACATGTGTGAACATAATGTATACCCACTTGCTGAGACTTAGACTGTGAACTGAGAAAGGAGCTGGTGCCAACCCTAAAATTAGACATGGTTTTCTGGAAGTTCTAGGCGTTTGGCATATTCATATGCCTTAATTATGCAGACCCATTTTCAGGGTTACCTTTGGCTCAAGTTGATATGAGGTGCCAAACAGCACCAATGGCTTTTTCTTCTATCCTGAAATGTATTTTTTTTTAACCTATAAATGTAATGGCTTACCAAAGGGAAATATGCCCTTTCTAAGAAGCTGACCTATAACAAGAGGTCTTGCATGGATTTTTAACTCTGTTCTTTAAGCTGCACACCTCTACTCCTCACCCCAACCACAGTATTCTAGAAAATCGCTTGTTAACAATATTTCAAAGGTGAAACCCACCCTGGAGATCACTTCTCCCTTTTTCAGATTATGGAACTGCAATCATGTGGGAACAAACCAAGGTCATCACAATCCTGATAACTTGGAGCCTAGTAGCTGGGGGTTTTCACTCTCGTTCAATGTTCTTTTACCTCCAATATGACCTGGGGTGGATTTTTCAAATTAAAAGAAGGAAGGAGGAAGCCTTCTTCAAGGCCACCTTCAACCATGGATCTTGCCAGCATTGTGCCCAAACAGCATACTTTGGCAACCACGGATTTCATTAGCTTGTAATTGTGGAATTAGAAAGAACCGTCCTCACATGGAACCTGGACTACAGAACGACTTGGAATGTTTAAAATATTTAAGAAAGAAAATAAAACAAAACACGCCATTAGCATATGCTTTCAATGATTCACCCCAATATAATTCATGTACAGTTCTAATTCTGCTCTCTCACATCTGCGCTTTCAAAACAACCCTGGCTGGCGAGGAAAAACTGGGAAACAAGGGGAGGAAAAGGCCAGCAGGGGTTCAGGGGTTGGGGTGCACGTTGCCAACGCCTGGAGAGACTAGTCAGCCGGAAGCCCGGAGGCGGGCGCTCTGATTGTGTGCGCGAGTTGGGGGCGGCTGCTCTCCGCACCCCACTTTCACTCAGTTCTATTTAGCCCTTTAGTGCTGCTCGGTCCACCCTTAACGCCCCAAGATCGGGATAACAGGGAATAGAGGGGGAATCCCAGGACATTAAGAAAACTATGTTTAGAAAGATCCAGAGTGGGTGGGTGAGCCGGAGGAAGTCAAGTGTGTTAAGGGTAAAAAAAGAAAAATCTTAAACCGCCCTCAACCCTTGGCTCTGCAAGGGTGGAACCCGCACCTCAGCGCCCCGCGAAGGAGGGGAAAACTGCGCGGGTCTTGAGCCCTCCACTCCAAGCGGCGAGGCCGAGAGGTGGGCGGCACCCGCGCTGCGACTCCTTCGAGGCCCCGCCCGTCGGACCAGCCTCCGCCCGGCCATTGGAGGGCGCTGGGGGCGGATCGGAGGGACACCCCCCTCTCGCCACCTGCCCCCACCCGTCCCCTGCCCGCCTACGTTTGGGGCTTTTCCTGAAGCCTCTGGAGCCAGGAAAGGAAACACCCAGGGCTGCCACAGAGCCCCCTAGATGCTGGAAAGGCAAGGCCCCCCTATACAGCCCGCCCCCCTCCAGCGTTCTGGTGACGTCACTAAGTGGGGCTACGCGGTTTCGTCCCCGTCCCAGGCCCCCACCTCTGGGTCTGCGGTTTCCTTGGGGTTTGGGGGAAGGGTCCCCATTCTGTTCAAGCTCCCCGCCTTGCAAAGTGCTGCAGTCCGTGCGCTCCCCTTTCGCCCCTCACTCCCCACAGCTTGTCCCATCCCTTATTTTATTTTGCACTTCCTATCCTGTTCGTTATCTGTGCGCCCCCCAGGGCTCTGTGTGTTGGCCACCCGGAGGTGGGCGCGCGGGTGGCGTGCAGCCGGCAGAAGTAAATTCGGTTTGCTATCTCCTTAATCCGTTTGCATTTTCTATGGATCATTTGATACTTTGTTGTTTTCTAGTGTATTCTTGGAAGATTTTGGAGTCGTTTTCGTGTGTGTGTGTGTGTGTGTGTGTGTGTGTGTGTGTTTCTCTTAACAACGGGGCTTAAAGTTGGCCGACGCCTTCTTTAGCATTTCATTAATTAAAGAAGCTAGGTTTTAGGCTTTTCTTGGTGTTGAAAAATGAAAGAAAACCAAAGCCTAACAGCGTTTAGAAAGAAAATAGCCCTGCTTATTTTTCATTCTCAACTCGAGCTGTCGTGGACAGCACCGTGCACAGAGCACAGGCGCAGGGGCAGGAGCCCTTCGTTGCAGTGCAGGTTGCGTCTCCCCGGGCTTTGTGCCCCAGCACCAAACGACACTGCAGGTGTGTGGGGCCTGCGTGTGCGTGCGTGAGGTACGTGTGTCGGAGTCCAACAATCTCAAGAGATGCATCAAAAAAAAGCCCACATACTAGAGATTCCTTCGGAAATTTCCCAATGCTCTGAAAATTAGTAAATCTCTAGTATTCGAAATTTGTCTTTGCAAAGGCTCCTTCCTCCGTGCTCTCCCCACCTCCAAAAACAGGTGTCGCTGTGTGTCCTGAAGAGGTCTCTCGCCGGCTCCGGCCTTCTGAGCCAGTGAAGTTCAGAGGACACACTGTGCATGTATTTCGGGGCCCGCACAGGTGCTGACCAAACCCCCAAGGCCTGGGGCAGTGTGTGCGGGCAGACACAGGGGGTGCTCAGCTGGGCTCGCGGGCGTGCGCCTGTTTGTGCGTGAGTGTGAGCTCAGGCGCTCCAGGCTGCTACCAGAGCTCAGCCGCTGGGCTGGAGAAAAAGAGGGGGTAGGCAAGTGCAGGGGAAGACTGAGAATAAGGGGCAGAGGGGCGCGGAGATTCGAATTAATCCAGCTTGTTAGCTACTTTTCCCTCTGCCTCTCCTCTAAGCCTTACTGCATCTTGGGAGGGGGTTGGATTCGCCGTGGAGCTGGTGGAGAAGGGGGAGCAGGTTGAAACAATCGAGTGGGCGCGTCAGGTACTCCCTGGCTCCAGGCAGGGAAGGGAGGGGGGCTCCCCCAGCTCTGCGCTGTAAGGGGCGGGGTTGGGGGCCCCGGGAACTGCGAGGAGACTGCGGTGCCCGCAGGGGTGGGGAATTGGTCACCCCAAGGCAAGATTTCCTTCGGATCGCAAATTAATTGTAGATATGTGATTAATTCCAGCTTCGGATGACTATAAATGGCGATTTTTCTATCAAGGTGTCGCTATTTTTTTTTAATCATTCCGTGTCATCCCCCACGTCAGGCCTGCTCGTGGGCGTGCGGCTGTGCTTCCTCCGCCCCCTCCTAATGGAGTGAACCATTCCCAGCTCTTCCCCCTCTCTCCTTCAGTCTCTCTCCGTGTGTGTGTGAGTGTGTGTATGTGTGTGTCTCTCTCTTTCTCCCTCTGCTGCTCTCTCTCTCTCTCTTCATTCTCTCCCTCTCTCTCTCCTCCCTCTGCTTTCCCGGTGCATAAAGTCTCCGTCGCTCCTGGAACTTGTTGGCAATGCCTATTTTTCAGCTTTCCCCCGCGTTCTCTAAACTAACTATTTAAAGGTCTGCGGTCGCAAATGGTTTGACTAAACGTAGGATGGGACTTAAGTTGAACGGCAGATATATTTCACTGATCCTCGCGGTGCAAATAGGTAAGTGGCCGCACAGCCGGACTCGCGCCGGTGGCAGGAGGCTGCCGGCCGGCCAAGCTCGAGGCATCAAAGGGTCCGACTGGCCCGCAGCCGCCCCGGGGTGTGGAGAAGCCCCAAACCCCCAAGGGTGGGGGCATCAGTTCCTAGGGACTCGCAAGTCCCGGGTTGGGGTTTCTAATAAAAGGAGTGACTTCCCAATGTTATCCAGGAAATATGAGCATCCAGCCGGTTTAAGAGGGGATTTTTCTCCCGTTTTTAACGGAGAACACGTCCATTTTTTTTTCCTTCTTCTTCTTCCCTCTCTTGGTTAGATCAGGTTTTTATGTTCTGGGGCAATGCATTGGTCCTTGCGATGTTGCAAGGTATTATTTTGAAGGGTGGAAAGGTGAATGCAGCAACAAGATGGCCAGGCAGCTAGAGCTGGAAAGTTTATGTGCAGAAAACAGATATTCCGGGCCCAGTCTGCTGCATTTAGAACTTTGTCATACTCCCGCCACCCCACCCCCATGCCCTAGCTGCAGCATTTGCACGGGCACTGCAGACCGGCTGGGGGTCAGCTTGAGAAGGATGTGGAACCCCAGGGTAGTATTTTAATGTGCTTGTCATTGAGGAGATTGAATACAGCCAAATATATGTGGATATGATTTTCTATAAACATTTGCCTGTTCCTTTCCTCATAGGCATCTGTATTTTTACACAGGAAAGGGTTAAAAAGTGTTTGCAATAGGTTATGTTGGGTGTTTGTTATTTTTTGTCTGTGTGTTTGGGATTGATTACAGATGGATTTATGTAGCCCCCATTTTATGTTAAGGAATGTTGAGTCTTAGTTAGGCTGCCATGGGGTTTTAAAAGTTCACATTTTCCATCCAGAATGAAGTTATGGAAGGGAGTATCAGAAAACCCCCTCCTCTCATGCGGGTCAGAGTATTAATTAAGGTGGCCTAAAAGTGAAAGTGAAGCTGATTGTTAAGAGAATGGGCAAGAGAAAATAGAAACTCTTCCAATGGGGTTTCTGGTGACAGAATATTGTTGACTTCTATCATTTCAGGCTGTAAATTTCTTTGCAGACAAATCCTTGCAGTATTGGGGGGGAGCTTTAGGAAATTGGTTTAGGGCAATAGATAAAATTAATAATATTTTTCTTCGTGAGAAATGTGAAGGGGACAGAGTTTGGAGTTATCTCTACAATAAAATGGATTCTTTGCAGTGGATTTTATGCATTCGACATGATTCTGAGTATCTGTTTTTTTTGGGGGGGGTTTGCATGAATATTAGGGGAATTTTAGAATATGGGGATGCAGGCTGCTGGCATTTTCCTTTAATTCTGAGAAATGACTTGATGTTTTGAATCTGGCTGTTTGAATCTTTGACATTAGTGCAGAGAACTGCAATAAATAAAGAATATTCTAATTGCAGCCAATCCCTTAAATATTGGAAATAAATAAATATGGAATTTTGCAATTAGCCTGCAAATGTTTAGCAGCAGCACCTATTTTAATATGGGGGTTTTATACGGTTCAATGTTTGGTGTGTTTTCCCGGTGGAAAATACCCTCTCTGTGTGTTGGGGGTGGGAGGTAAAAAAGACAGCAATTGTGCATGCGGGGTGCGCTTGAAACACACCAACCTCAGCCCAAAAATGACCGTTTGTTGGCTGTGGGATTGAAATTGAGCAAATTTGTTCCCGAATGTCTGCCCTTTCCCGCACCAGAGCCTCTCGATCTTTATTAATTCATGTCTGGGAGCTTTCCCAAATCATTGACATTTGGCAAGAAAAGTGGGGGGTTGGGGAGTGAGGGGGAGGAAAGGGTGGTGAACGCAAATTAAGACCCGGCTGGAGGAAGTTTGGAATGAATGAGAGGTCAAACGAATGAATGGACGGATGGAAAGGAGACAAGGTGTAGACACCGGAGAATGGGGAAGGAGCCCGGCTGGCCGCCCTAGCCTCTCTGAAGTCCGGTTCAGAAACCACTGGGAGGGTCGTGCGGACTGCGACCTGCAAAATGCGTCCCGAGCACAAGCCAGCTGAAACCAAGAAGTCTAGTTTTCAAAAAAGAAATGTTCACGATTCTTATTTTACACATGCACATACTCACACATGCGCGGTATGGAGGGTCTTCTCCGGCAGAGCCTGGAAAGATAACGTGACACCTGAGAGCTTCCCACCCCCAGCAAACCCCAGATCCCCTTTAAAATGTTGTCAATACGTTTTAAGGGCTACTTTTTTTGCTCTCGAGTTTTGGGGGTGGAGGTAAAGGATAAGGAGAGTTGGGGATTTGGTGGGAATGGATGGAGTGTATTTTATTTCGTGTCTTCGCTGCAATGCTGCATCCTTGGCGTGCATTATAAAGGACAAGGGGTAGGATTTGTTTCATTGTGATCGTGTTCCTATGAGAACCAACATTCGTTATTCTCTCTCCGTATTCTACTTGATATTGCAGTCGTATGGGCTTTTGACATTTCGCGTGACAGGGGCCACCGGGGTTGTTTGTCAAGGTTTACCTACAGCCTGAGCCGAGATCGAAATTAACCTCAGAGCTTCCCTTTCCGGATTAGGGAGCACAAGGCCCGCCTTGCTTCTGCAGCAATTTGCAAATGGGGCTCTAGGAGGCTGCTGCAGGTTCGGTCACCTTCCCTCCTCTTCGGCTAGCGGGGCTCAAGGGGACCAGCGGCCGGGGAGGGGGGGGTCCGGTCCTCCCCCCAGACATTCACACACTAGCCTTAGCGGCGTGAACACTGTCCAGGATGAGGTCGGCGCTCAAGATCTCGGGCATTTTAGGCCAATTTCGATTCTGAGCGGATTCGCCTGTGCTTTTCCCTCCCCTCGCTCCCAAGGCGAAAATCTGCGCTTTTTGCACGACCTCCTGGCGCCCGGAGTGTTTTTGGCCTTTCGCCACCGAACGTTTATCCGGGTTCTTTGGCCTTGGATAGGAGAGAAATGGCCAAGGCAGCGCGTCCGCGGTCTGGAGCCCGTCTCTGCCTCTCTCGGGTCTCGTACCGCAGGGTTTGACCGACCTGAGGCCTGGAGCCTGGGCCTCGAGCGGCTTGGGTCTCCTCCCCCTCCTCGGCCCGCACCGCGTCTCCTCCTGCCGCCCCGCCGCTCTCCCCGCCCCCGCTCTGGAGGGAGTCAGAGCTGGAGGCCCGGAGCCCCCAGCCGCAGCCACCTGGCCTCCGCCGCAAGCCTGAGCCTGGGGAGGAAAGGTCCCACCCTGCTGCTGGCTGGACTGGTGACCATTGGAGAGACGGGAGGGGGTAAGAGTATGGGGAAATTGAAGAAGCAGGTGGCCCAAGGCTCACGGATTTGGCCTCCACCGAGGTGACGCAGGGCCGCCCGCACAGACACATTCATGACTCTGCAGGGCCCAGACTGCCCCGCCACTGTCACTTCGCCCGGTCCCAGGACGGCCAGGGGCGGCAGGGGCGTGAAGAATCTCACTGGGAGAACAGAGCGCAGGGTACTCTGGTGGCCGCGGGGGGCTTCCAGAGATTTCACTCATTTATTCAGCAGTGTTGCTGAGCGCCCACCAAGGACTTGGGTGCCACGTCCAGGCTTTTCGCCTGGTGTAGCCTTTAGGTTCCACTGCGTGGCCCCATGCTGTGTCACCTCTACCTCTTCCTCTCTGCTCTCTGAGGTAAGACCCCCTCGGTCACCTCAGAAAAGGCAGATTGCACTCCCAGAGCCGGACAGGCTTGCTAGGGAAGTGTGGGCAAACAAGGTGGGAGGGGGTAGAAAGAGAAAAATAAAGGAGGAAAGGGAGGTGAGAAGGGGACAGTAGAAAGGGAAAAGACAGTGAGAGGGTTGCTGGAGGAGCTGCAGGACAGGAAGAGCCTCACTATGGGGCCACCCACACCGGCTCCCACACGACAGTCTGCCCCAGGAGCCTGGTTGGGTGCAGGTCGTTCATTCTGGAACTCATCTTTCCTTTAACTCTGGAGCGGAATTGGGGGCACGGGCGGGCGGTGGGGCTGCGGAGCGGGATCTGGGCTCTGCTGACCAGTATCCCCTCCTCCCCGCAGCGTACCTGGTGCAGGCCGTGAGAGCAGCGGGCAAGTGCGATGAGGTCTTTAAGGGCTTTTCAAACTGTTTGCTCAAGCTGGGCGAAAGCGTGGCCAACTACCCGCAGGGCCTGGACGACAAGACGAACATCAAGACCATGTGCACGTAAGTATCCTCTTTGGCCAGCTAGGCTCCCATTCTGGGGGCACTGCTGAGGTGGGAGATCCACCCAGAGGAGAATTTGCCCATGCCCACCTCCTGGCTCCCACCCTGAGGCCTTGGCTGGGCCTCCGCTGCCCAAGGAGAGGCTGTAGCCTGGAGTGGGCAGAGGAGGGTTGTTCTGCTGTGGCCCAGTCAAACAGAGGCTTGCTCATCCTCCCAGCAGAAACCAGGGCGAGGGGCAGGGAGAGCTGCTCCCAATTTCTCCTTTTGGAGCAGTCTTCTTCAGCCTTCCTCAGTCTTTGCTTCTGAATGAGAGGCCCACCCAGTACCCTACAAAGAATAATAATTTTGGTTTCAGGGGAGGCATAGGTAATGATAAATTTGCCTAAAAGGAAAGTCTCGTCTATTTTGTCCATTTCCCCTGATCAAAACTCCCCTCAAGTACACATCAAGAAACTGGAGTGCAGACTAGGGAGCACTGGGCCCCCTTCCTCCTTCTGGGAAAAAGGGTAAGAGAATATTTTGTTCCTTGCCAATGACTCTGCCCAAGAAGAACGTGTTCCAGGCATCCAGTGACTGTTGAGTTTATAGTAATTTGCTAGGTTTAGGCCCTCTGTGTTTTTTGTTTCCCTCTCTTGTTTGTCTACATGTATTAACAGGCCAGGGCCGTTAAGGGTCCAAGGAGGGCCATGAAAGAGTTCATGGCCAGGCTCAGTGACATTTTAGCTGCTGCAAGCCTTAGAAATATACCTGGCCTCTGCAATAACACACAATATATTTTGTTTTTCAAAAACAGATGTGATACCTATCTCCTTCATAATGACCCTTTCAATAAAGTCAAGTCAAGGGTATTCCTTGTACCCCAGAGGTTGGAGTGACATTTGCTGTACCACCTTTTTTATACTGTGAAGTTCTTCTCTCTAATTCTTGGGGACAGGGGAATTATTTATTTAAATTATGAGTAATTAAACAGGGATCAATTTTGCTACACATTTTTGCAAATATCCAGATACCCACTAGGAGCCACAGCAGCTAAGTACCTGGTACCTTCCTATCAGGAAAGGGACAAATGTTTGGGTCTGGGATGCATACCTACCTATTGTAATTCCAAGTTTCTGGTGCTAGGTAAGATTACATCTATACATCATAAAAGGTTAAATATAGACCAGCTCCCCAATGCTCCATCATTTGCCAGGACTTGGCTATTCCAAGTTATTTGATTTTTTTTTTTTGCAAGATTTCCAGAAAAATGGAAATGAGAAAGGCCCTTCCCAGAGGTCACAGATCACAGCTGGGTGGAAGCTTCCACTGGGTTGGTGCACTGTGTGCTCCACAGCTCCTCTCAGTCCCTCCTGAAGGCGGTCCTTCTCTGCCGCCTCTCTCCAGGAGGGTCTTGTTCCTATCTGGGCGTGCATAAAAAAGGAGGGATTTGGACTTACTTTGGGAGGTGCAATTATGCAGAGAACTGTTCCTCCACCTCTTAGGTTTCTCAAATCTTGCTATTTTTTTTTTCCCAGTTGAGGAACTTAGAAGTCCTACATCCCAGAGCCCCCAGTTCTTTTATAAATTAGAGACTCTAGAGGGTCATTAGAGAACACCATGGCCCAAGGCAATCCAACAAGCATTTTAACTTATTTGCCAGAAGATGGTGTGGGAGTGGAAAGGAGGATAAATCAGACATAGTGCCTGCCTTCAACGTGCTTACAGTCCAGGCTAGAAAGCAGAAGGAAGACATAAGAGACAACACAATCAAACTGTGAGGTCTGCGGGCGCTGGCGATCCGGTCTCAGGGCCCCTTGAGGTGGAAGCCAGCGGGAGTTACTGAGACACACAGATCGACCTGCACTGAAAGGAGACAGCGCCCCAGGAATCGATCACGGGTTGGAATTATATTTAAGCTTGGGATCTATTTTGGGTTTTCAGAAGAAAGGGGGACAATAAAGAAGGACAGGATGGATGAAGGTTGTGGGGGCGGGGCTAGGAACTGAGTGGGGGGGGGGAGAAGGTTCTGAGGGAGGTGCCAGGCTTCGAAAGAGGCGAGAAGGGAGGACAAGGAGCCAGGGGTCACCAGTACTGCCCTGGGGGCTGGGCACCTTCGTAAGTATCAAGTCCCTGGGGAAGACTGGGGGCGGGGAGAGAAGGGATAAGACCAAGTGCGCAAGGGGGATCACAGAGGTTGGCAAAAGGTAGGCTTTGAAAGCTGGCCCCGGGAGCTCGGGAACCCACACTCCCCGACCCGGGGAAAGGGCGAGGCAAGCCGAGCGTCCTGAGAGAATCTGAGCTGGGGGACTGGTGAGCAACGAGAGGAGCCACGGAGGACCGGAGCAAGTGAGGATGGGGAAGCAGTGTGGAAAACCGAGAGGAGGTGGAAAGAAGGAAGACAAAGAAGGTTAGAGGGAAGAAAGGGAAAATAAAAGAACGGGAGACAAAAGGAAGGTAGCGGGGAGAAAGAGGGCGAGGACGGGGTAGGGTGGGGGTGAGCGAATAAGGCGGCGCCTGGAGCGAGAGAGACAGACGGGGAGGGGGGGTGGGAGGAGAAAGTGAGAAGCCTAGTGGGGAGGGATGCGCCAGGAGCAACTAACCCTTCTTGCAAGCTAAGAGGCATTAATGGGCAGCAGCTTGCAAGGCTTAGCACTGTTTTCCTAGCTTTCCCGAGGAGGACGAGCAATCTGTTGGCGTAGGCCGGAGGTGCCAGCTTGGCGCAGCCGGTGAGGCCCCGGCTCCTGGCTGCTGGGTCCCCGCCGGGCACCCGGGAGAGGGGAAGCCCTCTCCTCGGGCCGCAGCTGCTCTGGGTGGGCTGAGTCCGGAGGGCTGACCTCGCAGGACCGGGCGCCAGGGCGGTGGGGAGGAGGTAGGTGGGGGGGGGGGGGGGCGCCTGCGGAGGCTGGTGGCGCCGAGAGCGCTGGGCGCACTGGCACAGGCCCCGATCCTCCCACGCGCCCCGAGTGAACTCGCTTCTTCTGTTTGTTCTGTTCCTCGCCAGATACTGGGAGGATTTCCACAGCTGCACGGTCACAGCCCTTACGGATTGCCAGGAAGGGGCGAAAGATATATGGGATAAACTGAGAAAAGAATCCAAAAACCTCAACATCCAAGGCAGCTTATTCGAACTCTGCGGCAGCGGCAACGGGGCGGCAGGGTCCCTGCTCCCGGCGCTCCCAGTGCTCCTGGCGTCTCTCTCCGCAGCTTTAGTGACCTGGCTTTCCTTCTGACCGCGGGGCCGGCTCCCCCCTCGCCCACCCACACTCACTCCATGCTCCCGGAAACTGAAAGGAAGATCCATTCGTTCGTTGGGGACCCTGTGATTCTCTGTGATGCTGAACACACTCATATAGGAATTTGGGAAATCTCGATTCTCTTTTATTTCGTTTGATCTCTTGTGTTTCATTTGCCAAATGTTACCAATCAGTGAGCAAACGAGCACAGCCAGAACCGGACCTCAGCTTTAGTCCCTCTTCACATAAAAAAAAAAAAAAAAAAAAAAAAAAAAAAGAAAAAGAAAGAAAGAAAAAGAAAGAAAATAACCAACCCACCCCATTTTTAAATTTTTTTTTTATTTTTTGGCAAAAGAATCTCAGGAATGGCCCTGGGCCACCTACTATACTAATCATGTTACTACATGACCAATGACGGGCTTCTCCTTGGCCGGAAAGAGGAGAGGAGAAGGCCAGGGGAGTGATGCAGGAGAGATGTCCACGAGGGAAGCATATGGTGAATAAGTCACGTTCGCGTCTTTCTTCCACCGTATCTTGTTTTGATCATTTCCACTGCACATTTCTCCTCAAGAAAAGTGAAAGGGCAGGTTGCTGGCTCTGCGTTTTAAGGGTGAGAGAGAGAGGAAGAGATCTGGGACCTCTCTGGGTCCAGGTAAAGGCTGCCAGAAGTGCTGCTCCAGCCACTGAGAGGTTCAGCTTTACTGCTGTTCCTGATGCATCTTTCCAAGTCCAAGCCTTTCTTTCCCTCCTCTCTTGTTTTCGCTGTTCCACACACAGTAATGCCCCAGTATCCACCGGTGTAGACCACAAGGGGGGAGTGTTCAATGTTAACCTAAAACATAGTTTAAAAAGAGTTTGACATAGAGAGCCTTGATTTTAAAAAGAGAGAGAGATGTAATTTAAAAAATTTATTATAAATTAAACTCAGCAAAAAAAAAAAGATTTGCTACACAAAGTATAGAGAAGTATAAAATAAAGTTATTGTTTGAAATGGGGGTGTTGTCTGTTTCCTGTCCCAAGCCCGCTTTTTGGCAGAGTTCTCAGAGGCGCCTGCAGGGACCCATGAAGCCAGGTGATCCATTCACCCCTTCGCCCGCCACTCAATCACCCATCATCTCAAGCAGACCCTCCCTCAACTCGGACATTGCTATTTCTCAGAAATCCCGTTTGCCCTAAGAAGAGAAATAATGAACTGGACAGCAGAGATCCTTTCTAGGTAAGGCCTGGGCAAAGTGTGCGCGCTCCTCCGAGAAAGCGCGCGGACCGAGTGCCAGTGGCCGGACCTCGGCCCCTTCCCTGCGGGCCGGGCCCTGACCGCGATCGCCTCTTCCTCTGCGGCGGCCGGCGGCTCGCGAGGAACCGCCATTAAGGGCTCGGCTCTCACCGAGGGGCTGGGAGGCTGTGGTCACTGGCAGGGATCAGGTGAATCCTTTCATAATTAATATGACAGCTCAGCCGAAATGGCGAGGAGACAGGGCCCTATTGATCAGGCAGCAGAGCTGCTTCCACCTCTGCTATTTATAGGCCCCGCTCGGCCTTGCCTAGAAGTAAACATTCGAGAGAGAAGGAACAGGAGCTAAGGACGCCTTGGCCGGGGCTGCGGGACTGCGGGACTGCGGGACTGCGGGACTGCGGGCTGGAGAGGGAGAACCCCATGCATGTCTGGATTCAATGAAATTGAAATATGATTTCCTGGAGGAGAAGGTGCAGGTGGGAGGAGGCTGCGGGGTCCCCCGGGGTCCGGGGAGGAAGGGAGGGAAGTAAACGGTGGGAGGAGGCGGAGGGGGCTGCAGCGGGCTCCCGCGCCGTGGAGCCTGCGGGCGGCCGCCAGGAGGGAGGGAGGCTCTGAAATGCAATGCGTAAACAATCGCTAGCGCGAAAGTTCATAAATCACACCCCGTAGGTCACAGCCCAATCTGCATTCCCCCCACGGATTGAATTCCTGCAACACATGAGCCCCAGCGCCCGGAGCGTTGGAAGCCGCGCGGACTCCCAATGGCAGCATCCATCACAGTGCCGCTCCACGCACGCGCCGCGCCCGCCCGCCCCCCAAGCCGCTCCCCCCGCTCCCCTCCTCCTTCCATCCCCGATTCCTAGGCAAACCCAAAGGGGATCCACGCACCGGGAAACTGGTTGTTTTGATCCTTTCGTTGCAGTGATTATTTTCAGTATTTCCCGTCTAAGGATATAAATAGGACTATTCTAACCTCAGCGAAACCCTGTAAATCAAGCTAAAATGCTTGAGCCCGTTTTAAAGACGAATTATTAAAAGAGGGGGCGTAGAACGAGGAGAAAGAGGGAGGGTCGTCTCCCATCATTTTTGCCCTAATAGCGCGCCGCCCCCCAAGGGAATCTCTCCCTCCGCAAACCCGGGAGCGCCGGCGCGCACAGCGAGGCCCCGTGTTGGCCCAAGAAAAGGCGCGCACCATTCCCCCTGGTTTCCAAGGGGGCGGGGAGGGCGGGAAAGACTTCGGGGACCCTGGGAGGACGCTCCTTCCCTCCCAGCGTGATCTTCGCACTCAGAAATCAATCTCCTTCCACTCCAGCCTTGAGGCGGGGTTGAGATGGGGCAGAGGCGACGAGGGGCGGGGATTGGGAGCGTCTCACCCCACAGGGTTCTTCTTCTGGAAGCCCTTCCTCCGGTGGCTCCTACCGCCTCCCGGTTGGGTAGCCCCACCTCTGCCAAGTCCTTCCACACCCCAACTCTGCCCAGGCCCAGATCGCCCGGGGGAGCCTGGAGAAAGCTAGGCGTCCGGCCGGGCTCCCTCGCACAGCCCTGGGCGGGGCCACGCTCATGCGCTGGGAGGCAGCCCCAGGAGCGCTGGGCAGCCAGACTCAGAAATGCGGATGGAGAACTTTTCTTCTTGTAGTGATTGTTTTAGGTTATTATCGCCCCGTCTTCGGCTGTAATTTGCTGTTTAGTCATGATGACATCTCCATATGTTAGTTGTTATTGTTTTTAAGCAGTAAGCTCAGAGCAATATTAACCAGGTGAACATGTCCCATCACTGAGAAATTGGGGGGAGAGGGGGAAACAGACACCAAGGAAACCCTCATACCTGCCTCCGCCCAGGTCCGAGCAGTCTCCAGCTCTGCCCTGGGGCCTTCTGAGGTTGGGGAAGGGCCCCACTTTACTACATCTTCTGCCGAGTGGGTGGATTCGAAACAGAAGTTAATTTGAGTGTAATGTTTGGTTATCCTCGGAGACAGCTCCATAGTCCCTTAAAAGACTCCAGGGCCCTTGGGAGGAGCTTGCAGGGAAGGAGGAGAGGGGAGAGAAGGATGGCTACATGGAAGGTGGAGAGTGGATGGGGGAGGAACAAATCCAGAGCAGAGTTAGTCAAGGGAGCTGAGGAAAACTTCTGGCTGGAGGTGGTAGAGCTGTGGAACTGATTTTCATTCAGGACTCTCACAGAAGCAGATGAGCACTAGGACCACCACGTAGATTCTCCTTCTGTGTGTCCAGAGATCCTTTCACTCCTGCCTGAGCCTCCAGGCCATAGGGGCATCTCGGAGCTGGGCAGGCCCAGCAGAAGCTAGGGGAAATTGGGTGGATGGGCCAGAAGAGGAACCCTCCCTCTACACCCACCTCTCCCCCTACACCCACCCTCCCACCTCCTTCTACCCCAAAGCCATCAAACCCAGCAGAGGTGCCTCCCTGAAGGTCTTCAACTATTCTCACCATCCCCCACTGCCCAAGGCTGGGCCCCATGGTCCCAGAGGAGCCCATTCTCTGGAACAGTCTGCCAGGGCCCTGTCCCCTAGGATCTGCGGGAAGGTCCACAGCCCCAGTGACTCTTCCTCGCCAACACTCACCCAGGAAACCAAAGCGATGCTTCTCTGGCCCCTTCTCCACGTTCAGAAATGAAGAGGGGAGGAGAGAGGGAGACCTAAAGGGGGGAGCAGTGTGGACACCAGCTGTGTTGCTCCCACAAGACACTTGGTTCACCTGGGCCCCAGAACCAACACCTGGACTAAATGAACTGTGTTCAGTCCCACTGGGGACAATCTCCCCACTTTAGCCTCACAGGGCAAGGAGGCTAACATTTCTGTCCAGATGGATCCTCTGCCTGTAGAGTGATGGCTCGGGAACCAGAGGATCTGGGTTACCAGGTGCTAAACATGGGTAGGTTACTTAACCCCTCTAAACCTCAGTTTCTTGTTCTGTTAAATGGGATAACCATACCTACCTCATCAGGTTGTGCTTGTATCAAACGAGGCTCCATAGGTAAAGCACTTTCACACTGCATCCGGCTTACCCGATGTTAGGCATTATTGTTATTTCCTCCTGCTTCCACACAGGCTCAATATAAAGGTTCTCACTGAAGTCTCTAAATAACCTCTTCCAAACAACCTGGAGCAGATAATTCCTTAGGGCCTTTGCTACATTGGGGCAGTTTTTCTGTAGCGCCCAGCAGCTTCAGTTCCTCTTGCGACAGGCTACACAGCGCTGCACCCGGCTCTGGCCTTCTCAGAGAATGCTCTAGATAAGCTTTGAATTAAGTCAGTCATTGGGCAGTGATTGCGCCCAGACCCTGCCCAACCTCACCTGGAGCCACAGCCCAGAAGCCCTGGCTTCTATTGCCTGCAATCACATTCTGGAGTGATTGTCCTCCCAGCACTAATTGCACTCCTCCTGGAGCTTCCTCCAGCTGCTCCTCTCCTTCTCCCTCCCCCCTTCCTCGCCACTTATATTAAATTCCTCTCCCAAATAATAATAATAATAAAATGGGTTTATTGTAACCAGTGAAGCAATACAATGTTACATAGTGGGGTGGTATTAGCCCAGCCTGCACTCCCTCCACACCTTTCCCCATGTTCATAAAAGCATGTGCTCATAGGGAAGATGGGCTTTTTTGTTCGTTTCTATAAAATTATGATATATATTTCCCTTCTACCGATTCCTCAAAATCAGTAGCTAAACAAATAACTCATTCTTTTAAATAGTTAACAATATTTCTCAGATGGCCCACCTATTAATGGACATTTCAGTTTTC